TATTTTTTTTTTTTTTTGTGCCCTCAGCTCAATGCAACGGAGCAATGTAAACTAACTCCATTCACACCCATTCAGTATAATTAAAAACATTTTTTTTGTTGGTGCACTTCCGTTGAAAAAAGGAACTGGTGTAAATGGGCTCTAAAGAGTTTCTCCTGATGTGAGGAAGCAGGAGAGCCAGCTAATTAGTTGGCACAACTCCTAAATGAAGTATATTACTGTGGACAGAAAACTGCAGCTGCTGTGGCTCTCGGGCATTGCAAATACAGGAATATTTTATATATGTATGCATAAGCCCTTAAATATCTCTGGATAAGTGCACTAGCTGTCAGCAGCTTAAGGCCCCGTTCACACTGAGCGATTTATCACGCGGTAATTCCCGCTCTCCAATGCTTGGCAAAGGGTCCTGCGGTCGTGCGTCGCTACAGCAGGACCCTTTTTGGAGCGGATTTTGTCGCGATTCTAGCTTGCCAATGCAAGCATTTGTGCGATATTGCGTGACAAAAATGCGCGATTTGCAAATCGCGCAGTGTGAATGGGGCCTAAAGTAGTCTATAAGTGACTGTGTGTGAAGATGAAAGTATAACCTAAATGTTCAGCTCCAGATAACATGTTTTCAGCTCCAGAAAAAATGTTTTTTTTTTTTTTTTTTTTTTCATATTGAAGCAAGAGCGGGTGATTTCTTCTGAAGATGCTGCTACCAGATTACAAGTGGTAAACCGTTCTGCTCTAAAATCTGTTCAAGCTCAAGCTAGGCTTGTCTTCCATACACCTACCTCATCAGCTGGTCCTTTGACACCAAAAGAGACCAACTCTGTTCCCCAATCAGGAAGAAAACAACAAGAGTATATTAAGGTCAGTTTGATACTTTCCAAAAATCGTATGTGTACACACTTTTAGTGCTAAAGAATTAGTCCTGGAAAATATTCAGCATATTGTTTTTGAAGGACCAAGAGGATCAACTTGACGACCAGTTTTAGTGAGTCTACCCAGTATGTAATTTAACAAAATTTTGGCTGTGGAAAAATATCGTCTGGAAATGGCACTTTGGAGAAAATGTAGAAAGTACAATTTTTTTGGGGGGACAAAATTGTGCTGCATTCCTAGTTTCTCTCCTCGCTGGGCGCTGCTCTGTGTCCCCTCTGAGCAGAGAGGAGAGCGCTGTGAGCGTGTCACAGGAGGAGCTCTCCTCCCGCACCCCCATCTCCCAGTGATCGCTGAATGTTTGTAAATAATTGGATATAGTATGAGTTACTATGTACCAGTTATCAATGAACAGGAAGTGCTCTACATCACTTGCTATTCATTCATGATTGTGTACATAGTAACTCATACTATATCCCCAATTTATGGATGAACAGGAACACGCAGTACCGCACAGAGGATTCCTGTTCATTCAGTGCTGTGGCTGCTGAAAGAGAGTTAGGACTGTTATCAATCTCTTTTTCCTGTTGCAAAAGGGAAATATCAGGAGTCTGTTTTAGACCTCCAATATTTCCCTGCAGCAGTAAAGTTTATTTTTTTTAAATATATTTTAAATTTGGGCGGGGGGAAAAAAATAAATATAAAAGAGAACTATGAGATGAGTGCTTTTCACTCACCTCCTAGTTCTAGCCGACCTGTGACAATGAGACTGTCACAGGTCGGCTCAGTAGATCGGGAGGTGAGCAAACACATACCGGCGTTCGCTCACCTCTCAATCCTGTCACGGCTCTCTGCCCGATTCCCCCTCCCCGATCCACCAGCGCTGACTGGCGGAACGGGAGGGGCGGGTACAGCTGGCTCTGCGTCTAGATAGGCAGAGCCAGCTGTCACTCACGCAGCTGGGTGGATCCCGGCACAATTGTCAGGATCCGCTTCAGCTGCAGCGTCTCAGTATAACGCGAGCAGCAGCAGTTTGCGGTATACTGTGGCTTCTCAGTATACTGATCCTAGGGTGACGGGAGGACGCTAGTTTGTGTCCTCCTGTTACCCTAAGGAGAACTATGGGGAAAAGCCTTAACCCCCTAGTTCTCCTTTTTAAAAAGGTTAGAACAAGTGTTTTTTTTGGTTTCGGTCTGACTTTTTTTTTTTCAGTCCGCCTCTAATTTTAACTGTTTAGATTCCTGTAACTTTTGATATCTACATATTGGAGTTCATACAGTTTATATTTTACTGTTGCTAAAGACGCTAATTGTGTCAAAGTTATGGTATTCGTTAACTTTACAATGACTTGCCTGTGTCTAATGAGGGAACTTTTTGTTACAGATTGCCAAAACTTTGTTCACGGATGAAGCTTTGAAACCATGTCCACAGTGCCAGTACCCAGCTAAATATCAGCCTCTAAAGAAGCGAGGCAAGTGCAGTAGGAAGGACTGTGGCTTTGACTTCTGTATTCTATGCTTGTGCACTTTTCATGGCTCTAAAGAATGTAGCACTGGGTCAGGAAAGAGGATTCATAAAAAGGATATTCTCCCTGGAAGTGCGCAGAGCAAGCGCAATTTAAAAAGGCTTTGAATTTTCCAATTTCATCCTTTTTTTTTTATCAGTGTTTTTAAATTGTATTGTTTAGTACTGTATCTTGCAGCATCTGCTGTTTTTTGTATGCTGATGTGGCCTATAGTTCACAAACCACTAGACATTGCTAACCACCGCAAGATAGGGCAAAATTATTATGGTACATTTTATTGTACTTCATCTGTAGCACTTCTTGCCTCTATTTTGCATCTAAATGTTCTGGAACAGTGTTTTTTAATAGGTCACCTTGTGCTATGTGTATTTAAACAAATTGGCTTAAACTGGCATTTTCTCTAATTTATTTTAATTTATTTTTTGCTACATTTCTTCTTACTATGTAGACACTGTTTTAAATAAAATGTTTTAGTGACTGTTTTTATTTAACTTGAAACACTGTCTGCCTTGTAGATTAACGTGTCTAAATGAGATGTATTCGTTTGTTGTGCAGCTCATACGGTTGTACATAAAAATCAATTTTCCAATCAGTTGTTTGGCTTTCTTTAAATACATTTCTGTTAGATACCGGACAGAAATTGATCGTTGCACACATTGAACATACCATCTTTGGTCTGTGTATATAGTTTTCCTCAGTCATCTTCAAGGATACCAACATGAAAGATGATTGGTTCCTCACTCTACAGGAAACCAAAAGCGGAACCGTAAAACCCCTTCCACCCCCCCCCCAGTTTTAGATTGTTTCATACTGTTCAGGAGCAGCACAGGGTTTATATTTCGTGTTGGGTTGGTAGTCTTCATGCAAATCTGCCTGGTATAGACGTGGACAAGTTTTGTTGGTACCCTTTTAAAAATCCACAATTTTCTCTGAAATAACTTGAAACTGACATCTGTGCAGTGATAACGAGCCAGACCCTATGTATCTACCGCAGGTGGCCACTTTATTTCATAAGACTGAGGAACTTCTTCTACCTTCCTCCTGTAATATTCCTAAAAACCCTAGGGCAAAAGCACTTCCGGGCTTTAGATGTTCCTGATGCCTCATACACTACTAGAGGCTTTAGAAGATCAAACCATCTTGTAGTCAGTGGCCCAACAAAAGGGCTTGCATGCTTCCTAGGCCACAGTTGCCAAATGGATAACATAAACTATATCCTTTGTTTTATACTATAAGGAATGCAGGTACTTCCTTCATTAAAGGTGCAGTCTAACAGATTTTTGCAACATTGTGGGTAGAAAAGGTGAGCGCATCAGGGGAGCAGCTATTTGGTCTAGTCTGGATATCTTCAAACACTAAAAAGTGGAGGTTCTCGCGCAACAAGACCTAGAATTTTAGTTCTACAGGCACCAATCCCACCCTGACTTGGGGGTTTTTTTTTTCTCCATTTTATTTTTGAGTCTTCTCTCAGGTTGCTGTCCTGAAAGATGATTGGGCAAATTCCCAGTTAGTCTTACCGGTAACAGTATTTTTAGGAATCTTTCAGGACAACAAGCCTACTTCCCACTTTTTCCCCCAGTACAAAAAATAACTTATTCCCCCCACAGTGTAGCACATTTATATGCTTAATAGAGAATGTGTGTTGGCAGCTACTGTGTGTTTGTGTATTGGGGTGCCATTCCAAATAAATGGGACTGCAACGCACATAGTATCGTGTCATGGTAGCATATGTACCAAATAAAAGCCTTGCATCCTTTTTTTATTAAAACAAAAAATGGGTAGGAAAAGTAGTCCTAGAGCTGTTGTCAATGCTAAATGTGATTCTTCCAGCTAGGAAGACATTGGATGTCTGTTTCTCATCTGTCTTATAAGAAGTAATTAATCTTTTACTTCTAGTAGAACCGTCATTAGGGTAGCAGTATCGCATGCTTGTTTCCAGTTTATATATTGCCCTAGAGTCATGGTCACCGTGCCTGACACTCCTATAGCTTTCCAGGTGTTGTAATTTCATCCAACACTTAAGCCAGCCATTTATTCTCACCAAGAGTGACAATGTCATGTGCTTACCTTTTCTGTTCTGTTAATTGTGGCGGATGATCATCTGAGATCATTTTTCTTTTCTGTAAGTACCAACAGGTATTTGCAATATGTTTTTTAAACATGTGACCAGACACCGAGGTAATGAATAAAATGTCAAAGCCTTCAAGTGTACAAACATGCTTTTGCGTGTTGCATTTTTATTTTATAACTTTAAATTAAAAAAACTTACAGAAAATGAATTTAACTTGCTAAAATCTATGCCTACACCCTCCAATCAATTTTAGAACCTTCTGATTAAAGCGGGCCTTTACACTCAAAAATCAAATTCTACCACTGCATCCCTCTATGTATGATGATTAATAACATAGACATGTCAGGTGTAATATGCTGTGATTCTGAAATTCTTACACTTGCAGAGCATTCACTTCATGTTTTGAAAGGGCAAAATGACTTCAGTTTGCCAAAGCAATGCACACTGGGATTCCGCTTTCTGTCTAGTCAGTGCCACATAATCTGGTGCAGAGACTGCTCTCATTTCCTGTCTGGAAAACCCCCTGGAACTGTTTGGGTTCACAGACATCAGATTCTAACCATTCTTTACACTATCCAAGACAGAACAAATGTGTTAGCTGGACTTGGGCTTTCAAAAATGGAAAGGAGCATTTCTCATAAAGTGAATGGTTGGGGTGTATTTTAATTTTTTAATTTCTTTTACAACCGTGTGGCACAGAGCTGCTCTAAAGCTAGAGGTGTCCTTTTTAAGTAACATCTCCTAGAGCCCTGGTTCTCAACTGGCGGGTCATGACCCTGTGTTCAATGGCTCCCCACATGCCTTCCATTTTTTTCGCTTCCCTTTTTTTATGTTGGGCTTCTCACCCCCCCCCCCCCCCCTAGCTCAGCACTGTCAGTTCCCGCGCCAAGCAGCCATTCACAGTTGGCGCTGAGCAGCATATTAGTTTGGGGGTGGGGTGGAGCTATGGCCACAAGGCAGCTCAATCCACACATGCATTGCTCACAGCTTGTTCTGCACAGGTGCCTGGACCAGAGTGACATCACATTCTGGCTCCCAGCATCTCTGCAGCGGGCGCAAGGAAGTTGAACAAGCAATGCTCATATGGATGGCTCTCCGTCACAGTCCTGTGCGATTAATGCACTCTGTACCATGCAATCGCACCTACTATGTGTATTGGTGTGGGAGGTGCGTTGCGATGCCATCTATTTCAATGCACCCCAAACATACCTCCCCCCCACAGTTCAATCACATGCACCGCAATGCACGGTATGGCAATGCCGTGCGTTCCATTGCACTGCGACTTGTAGTACAAATTCTTTCTCCTGTGTCAGCTTTCATCATAATTAGTCACGGGTCACTGAAAAAACTGGCTTGCATGTAAATAATTTTCCTAATCATCAAATCCTGTCTCGTCTTTTCACTACAGTGAAACTTATCCCTCATTTACGCTCCTTACTTGGCGCTGTCTAGAAACTCTATACTTTGAGTGTTAACATACAGGTATGTCAGGGGAAAAAATATTAATACAAAACGTGCAGTACATCTCTACACAGACACACATTTCACCATTTTTATCCAAAACCATACAAGTACAAAAAAAAATACCTGTTGATCCACCAGGGTCCTGTTCAATGACTACATACAGCATTTTGTGGTGTCAGCCCTGCCCAGTTTTCTCTTTCTAAAGTACTCCGACCCATCCATTCCATCTCCACAACATAAAGGCTAATCATTCTGTAGTCCCAAAAAAACCCTTCACACCACTCATGACATCACACACATGCCAGCGCACCCAGTAAGGAACTTGCTTTACTGAATTAAATAGAATGCATTTCAGTGTCAAAATTGTAAAAAATGTATCCTGCTTTGAGGCATGCGGCCACCAGTGATCTAGAGTCATTGGCCATAAGCTGCTCCTGATAAAGCTGGCAATACATTGGTAGACTTTTGTACAAACTTTCAAATGAAAAATCTCATCAGAACATTGAATAATACCATCGGAGACTTGATAGACTTGGAGTTCATTCGATTACAAAAATCACATTCACTGTTAGAATTTCACTTATCATTATTATACAGGATTTATATAGCGCCAACAGTTTGCGCAGCACTTTACAATATAAGGAAGACATTACAATCACAATACAATTCCAGACAAGATGGTAAGGAGAGCCCTGCCCCCGAGGGCTTACAATCTAATAGGAAGAGGCCAGTGATACATGAGGAGGTAGCTGTGTGGGGATGAATTGTTTGAGAACGTGATGGTTTAGTGGTTAGTTTGACGTGGGATAGGCTTCCTTGAAGAGATGAGTCTTAAGGGATTGCTTAAAGGCAGTACGAGTGGGAGATAGTTGGACAGGTTGGGGTAAAGAGTTCCACAGGATGGGAGAGACTAGAGTAGTCCTGGAGGCGAGCATGGGAGGAGGTGACGAGGGAGCTGGAAAGCAGGATGTCTTTGGAAGAGTGGAGGGGATGGTTAGGGTGATACTTTGAAACAATGTTTGAGATATAGCCGGGGGCAGAGTTGTGGATGGCTTTGTAAGAGATTGTTAATTTTTTTTAATTTTATCCTTTGGGCTATTGGAAGCCAGTGAAGGGATTGGCAGAGGGGGGTAGGGGATGGAAGCCAGTGGAGAGATTGGCAGAGGGGGGTAGGGGATGGAAGCCAGTGGAGGGATTGGCAGAGGGGGGTTGCAGACACTGAGTGGTTGGTTAGGTGAATGAGTCTAGCAGCAGCATTCATGATAGACTGAAGGGGGCATAAACCTGTGTAGAGGTAGCCCAATGATGAGGGAGTTGCAATAGTCAAGACGACAGATCACAAGTGAGTGGATGAGTAATTTAGCGGTTTCATTGGTGAGGAAGGGGCGTATTTTGGAGATGTTACGAAGGTGAAGGTGGCAGGATTTGGATAGTGATTGGATGTGGGGAAGAAAGGTGAGGCCCGAGTCAAGGATGACACCTAGCACCTTGGCATGGGGGGAGGGTTGGATAGTTGTGTTATCAATCTCAAGGGAAAAGTTTGGGGAAGGTGCACAGGCGGGAGGAAATATCATGAGCTCAGTTTTTGAAAGTTGGAGTTTAAAGAAGTGTTGTGACATCCAGACGGATATGTCAGTTAGTAGATTAGTA